AAAACTGTAACTTAGGCTCCTCCAGCTCTCTGACTGTGTGGTGCACTGAGGTGGAAATGGCAGTCATGCGAACACACACGTAGGTGGTTTTGCAGGAGAATCAGAGGACATCATCCATCTCCTCTCTGTACCCTCAGAGGGTATAACATGTCATAATGCAGTCCAACACATGCAGTAAAATTCACCAGAATGACTTCACATTCCTGTATTTTTATGGAGTATCCCATCCCATTTTAATGGGACAGAGGTCTGTTGTATTTCTGGGCTTGGTTGTGTTTTTTTAAAGTACAGCAAAAACAGCAATGTGAAGAATCCTTCTCCCAGATCACATCTCTGAGAAAAGCTGTTCTACAGTTTGATATGAAAGTAAGCTGTTCAGTATAGAGTGCAATAGCCAGCTATGTTCCTAACCTTCCTTTAGGGTATTATTCCTAAAATCACAATATAGGAGGAGATATTTATGGAGGTGGGATGGATTCAACTTCTTTGAACATTTGCTCCAAGACTGGGTTTGGCTGATGACATTCATCTCTAGAATCAAGTCTAATGAATAAATAAAATAGGTGCCCTGTATAAAAGGCTTGATAAACCATTCATCAAGATATGATAGATTCACATTATATGCTCAGATACACCCACATAAATACAGAAAAAAGTAAATCTGTTTCAGTAAGACTATTCATATTATCCAGTCTGGACACCTGAATATGACAAGTTAAGAAAATTAATTCAGGTAAGTACAAAAGCTGTGGGTGGTTCATTTTAACACTTTCCAGGAGAGCTTACTCTAGCCTGACAATGAGGCAGATGAAATCAAAATCTATTCTACAATATACTGTGTAAAGAGCAAGATTTTCAGCCATAGGATTGTGGAAATCAGGCTAAAATTACACTGTTCAGTGTTGGGAGACAAAATTTCAGCTAGCAAAAAAAGAAAAAAAAAACAGCTCGACTACACTGACTTTAGCAGAGACATCCCAAATACTATCAGCTAGGAATCTGGCACTGTTATAAAAAAGGTTTAGTTTGCAGGGTACCATTGTTAAATCTGGTACTTTTAGTTAAGATACATATCTTCTTGCAGACTGTAACAAAAGAAACAACCAAAAAAGAATTTTAACAAAGGGCATCACTCCAGGTAAGTGTCAAAGAATAAACCAGCTCTCTAAAAGAAGGTGAAAAAATGTAGTCCTTAGCACACTATGATGTAGAAATGGATGAACTACCAGAGGTACAAGTCCATAGAATGGTATAATTACTTCCTTTATATCTTTCCTCTCTTCTGATTATGTATGTATATTTTAAAGGTCCTCCATCCTTCAAAAGGGCATAGGAGGAGGGGGACTGGCTTTGTATAGTTCCTGGTAAGAAATCCTAATCTCAACACTGGCATAAGCTGGAGGTGTCTATACATTTGAGCACTTCCTGTTTTCACTTTGTGATCAAATATGTTCTTTGCAGGGAAAATAGGGGAGCACTTGAGGGAAGAAAGCAGAGATGTCTGAGAGGCTAATTGAGTGTACTAAGGAATCCTGGATGTAGAGGAAAAGGGGTCTTCCAAAGCTATGAATAAACTCGTGGCTTGGGTCAGATTTCTTGTTGTTTCTCTTCTTTAACCACCTTTGAACTCAAGTAAAAACAGCCTTAAATGTCAGGTTTACCTTTCTGATGTTGTAATTTTTATGTACTATTGAAAAGCTTATACTACCAGACTAGGATTTCCTCTACTTTCTTAAACACTGGATATTATCCAGAAATAGCATACACATTTCCAGCCAATTCATCCTTAGATCTTTCATCTTCTGGTACTGTTGTAATTCCAAATGTAAGACAGAGCTCAGTAAGTGAACGAGAACACGACAGAACTCCTGATCCTTGCATTTGATTTCCAACAATAAAAATGTGCATGTGTATCCTGTTTCAAATATAATTAAAATTAGTGCAAAATGGAAGCTGTGATAGGGGTTAGAAATTGTTTTGAAAGATACAGCCTGTCAGACACATTCATTCTACATCAGAGTTCAAGTGCCTGTCTCTTCAAAAAAGCCACTTAGGCCATTCAATTTTTAAAATTGACTGCCTTAGGAGTTTGCAAACCAATTGAGTAAAGGAAAAAAATAGCATTTTATTTAAAATCATAAGTAAATACAATTAGTCAGAACTGAGTTACTCTTTTGGAATTTGACAGTCTGAAGGACTTTCAGGTTTAATCCATGACATAAGAGATGAACTGCCTGCCACTGCCTCTCCTTCCAGGGAAATCAGAGGTTAATGATTTTTGTCATATTGAGACTAACAGCTAACAATTGCTACAGTTGGCCTTTAGTATTTTATTTGTCCTTTTGAGGTATTCAGAATAGGTGACAATAGCTTGCAGTTGAGAACATATGTAGAGAGACCCCTGTGGCTTATGGAAAAGTTGCTCCATGCTGGTTGGGTGTTTGTAAAAAAAATACATCCAGAGCTCTTTTATGTTCCCCTCCTTAATGAATGCATGAATGTCAAAATGTACCAATGGCCCATTCAGGGGGCAAAGCCTAAGCAGCTCCTTCTTTAAGAACACATCCTGAGACGTAAAATACATTTGCTTAACAAATTAAAATAATGAGATAATTCAATTAGTTTCTTTAAAAAAAAGGGAGGAAGAAAAAAGGGTACATCAGGGGATTATTGTAATACATGAACAGGTCATACAGCACAAAGGAGGAACAAACCAATTTGAAATAAGGTTAGACTAGTAATGAAGGAATGTACATTGAATCATGGACCACCATTGTAAAGATATTTACTTGAAACAATAAAATTGTACATCACAGATTCCCCCTTCTGGCTCAGCCAGCATTGCATTTTGAATGGGCAAGCTAATTTGAGAAAAAGTGTGGGATCTTTAAAAGAAAGGAGCTCTCTTCCTTCCCTGCACGTGTTTATGGCAAGAATCTTTCTGAATTTACATTGCACTGGTCAGGGGTCTCCATTATCAGTTTGCAGGTCTGAGAATTACAGCACAGTAAATCTTTCAACACCTGCAAACTCATTAAAGCCTGGATGGTAAAAGGTTTGAGGCTTTTTCGTGTTCATTTAATCTGATTTCTGTGAGGCCATCCTCACCAGTGGTGGCAAATTTCCTTAATTCATGCAGGATGGAGAGGGTCAGGAGAAAGAATAGAAACAAGGAAAGGGATTTCAAAAAGCCAGGACGACTTTCCTCAGGACAAGCAAGAGGCAGTTGACTGTTTAATAAGCAAGTGTCAAATGCTTTCAAGGAGCACATAAGAAAGAAAGAAAGGCAGGAAAAAAACCCCAACAAGATACCACAAATTTCATAAGAGGAAATGGAGTTATTACAGAGATGGCTATACAAACCAAACTTATTTGCAGCCCTGCTTTTCTCTGTCTGCCTGTAATACTCCTCTAAAGATACCCTACAGCTAAATGAAAAACCTTCCACTCACACTCACTCGACATCCAAATTAAAAACATTTTACAGGTTAGTAAATCTCCAGCTGAGGTGATGTAGCAAAGAACAGCTGTGAAGTAATTTTGATAATGATGAGAATAATAAGCACATGGCAAGGTTCAGGGCTTTGCTGTTGCAGCTTCAGTGCTCCTGAATAGATAAAAGTGATTAAATACTCCTGATTATCCTTGACCAATATGTAATGGATTTACAGCCCTTTCAATTAGTCAGTATTTGCTTAGGACTCATTATTTTGTCTTTGGTTAAGTAATCAGCCCAGAGACTCATGTTCTGTCTAATTCCTCTGAGCCAAGTGGGTACAGGGCACCTGACCTTTGAAATGGCCATAGCTGGGAGGCAGGAATAACCACTACTCCAGCAGAGACACTGGCTATTCCAGCTAATCCTGACCCCACAGGCCAGATCAATGCACCTTAGTTTGCTACTAATGTCCTTACATCAAAATGATGGTTTAGAAATGTGAATCTGTCACTCCCCCCTTTAGCTGTGCTGCTAGCAGAGCAGTTCAATAGTCCCTATCATAAATAGATCGGGTCCTGAAATCATTACTCAATAACCAACATCAGCTACCGTGAAAATTTATAAAACTTTGGTAGAAAAAGAGGTAGTTAATTACAGTTAGCTTTTTAAGCCTTATCAAGTGAGAAATAATTGTAAAGTGAAAGGAAGAAGAAAATCAATTGATAATTTTACCAGTTTCCATTATTTCCCACATGAAATAAACTACAAACAGTGATACTAGATTTTCTATTGAACCGTGTTTTGATGCCTAAGTGAAGCTATAATGACAACAGAACACCAACACATAAAACTAATAGCAAGAAGAGGATAAAGACAGACCACAGAAAGCATTGCTATGTCACATATTTAATCTCTCTCCCCCAAATGTGATTATGGCTAGTTTTTAATATTAATGGACTTGAAGAGAAGCTAAAAAGGTGCTTATTCTCTCTGTTACACAACTGAAAAATTAGGGAATCTGGAAGCCTTCTATATTTCTCACAAAAAAGTCACAATGACAAGTTTACAAGCTGCTCCTTTGACTCCCTAACATCCACAGTGTATGTCAGCACGCACAGACCAGGGCTCCCTCTTTCACCACATACATATGAAGTTTGTGTAAACAGAGGCCAGCAATAAACAATCCAGAGGGCAGAACTTTATATGTGCTAAAGCAAGAACCCCCCCTTTTGTTGTCTGTAGGAAGATTTTGAATAGTTCAAAGCCAAAATTGGTTACTTCATTTATAGTTGGTGTTCCATGCTAAGGCGTTGTACTCTCTCTCTTTTTCTTTCTATAGGCATGTATATGTGTATATATACACACACATATAGATAGATTTCTTTGAGATTTGTCATGATTCCAAGACCCAAGAAAAAAAAATCTGGAAGAAAAAAAAGCAACAAAAACTGACCCCTAGTAATGGTCCAAAAATTATGGGGACAATTGATTTCTAGTAATGATTAATAAACCTCATTAGGCACATGAATAGAAATCTGTTTTGGTTTTGGGCACCACTTACTGTGAGATGCTGGAAAAGCCATGCTCTCATGATATTTGTTGCTACTTTGGGGAAAATGCCTCTTTTCTTCTGACGCTTTTTGTCCTTGTCTGGATCATCATCATCTCCTGTACCAGGTGAGGCTACACTGTTGTCTAAACCATCTCCTACAACAAAGAGAAAAACAGGAAGGAGGAGACGTTTAATGAACAAAATATAGAAGCTAAAAAGTATCATTAAGTACCAAGTCACTACCACAGTTTGTTTGGGGGTTTTTTTGCTAGATCAGGCACATGTATAAGAACATTATATAAGAACACTGATACAAATATGTAAAAATTAAAAACTGTGTCTCTTCAAATACTAATTTTGGTTTCACATATGCATATATCATTAATTCATTTATAACTGTGTGCTTGACATAGTGCAATAGCTCTTTGTCAATTATCGGATTCAATGTGGGAAAACCTGCCACAAGAAAACCCATTTACTGTAAATGCATCCCTACAACCATTCTGAATATATACGTATAAGTAATCAAGTTAAATGTTCTGTAGTCTATATATTCAAGGCTCTCTGCAGAGGTGGCAGTAACCATGTCACTGTTCAGTGCACATAACACACTGTCAGATGAGCCACTCCCCGTAACCATCACCTCCCAGCACACATACATACGCACTCGCAAACACGTACACCTACCATGACCCTGCATATAGCATTTGCATGACATGAAAACTTCTACGTCTCTGCATCAGTGATTATTATCATTAAAAGAAAAGATGCACATCAAGGTAGAGTTCTCACTTAATCAGAACTTTCCATCAACATCTTTCTCTTCTGTGCTTTTTCCTGGCATTAATTGTGCATTAGCAAAAATCATTTACTTTTAACAGTCATAGTTATTTTTTCTTGCCCTCCAGCAAAAATGCCTTGAAAGCCTGCCTGGAGGGCATCTAAATTATGTATCTGAAAAACTCTTCTGGCAAGGCATTGCAGGACCCCTACTTTCTTAAAATTCATACGAGCACGTCTTCCTGTTTTTGGGAAGGCATCAATCAAGTGCAGCAATATATGCCATATTCCTGCATTAATATTTGAACTAATAACTTTAAAAAAAGGAAAGAAACAAGATCCGACTTGTGGCATAATCAAATGCAAAATAAATGAAGAATACTGGGACAGCACTGAGACTTTATAGATTGCTGTGTTTTCCTTACACATCATTAGCCCGGAGCCACACGAAAGAGGAAAACAGAGAAGTGGAGAGTTTATGCTCCCTGCTGGTGTTTAAGAAGCTGAGGTCCTGGAAGGACATCTGGGAATTGTGCTGAGACGGTGGTTTTTGTAATTTAAGAATAGACATTCATTAGCAGTAAATGCCATAAATCCCATGCTAAGTAAAAACCTTGTCCAAGAAAGCCTAAAACAATAAACTCTGTGCTCAATGTAGCCTGAGCTAGACGGTCCATAGCTTCCTGAGGAATGCTATAGATTCACAAGCTAATTCCTGTAGCCTCGTCTAGATCTGTAGTGCTACTAAAAGAAATACATTGCTGCTACATACAGTCCATTTGCTTCAAAACTTGCATTTCAGCTCCATCTTCCCACGCCAGATCACCCTTCTTGTACTGCCTCCCCTCTGAAAAACCAACCCTTTTGGACCAGAGAGAACAGAAAAAGCCACAGCAAAGAGCTGGCAGATTAATTTTATTGACATTTCCATTTTCGCTGCAATGTGATACCCTCCATCACATGGAAGAGATGACCCTCACTATTTACAGACTGACAGGCCACTTCATTACAACCACGCTGCCCCAAGGCAGAGCAGCTCCTTTCCATCTGCCCAAACACCAGAGCAAGACCCTAAAGTCGCTGCTCTCTTTCTCATGCTCTGTTTCTTTTTTCTTTTTTTTTTTATTTATTTTGTGTTTTGTTTTCTTTCTGTTAATGATCGAGCAAGGAGAGCCAAATCATAGTAAACTAATCAAAGAGATTACGGAAGCTCTAAACTCTGTAACCAACTGTTCACTCTTGCAATAAATTGGTTATTTAGAAAGCACTCCTTTTGGCTACTCTCTTCCCCTCCATATAATCCACCCTACTCCTCTGTCTCTCACAGACACGCGTGCGCACGCACACATACACACACATGCACACACACACACACACACACACACTTTCCACTATGCCAAGGAACTGCTGCAAGGCAAATTCTCACAAACACTAATGGCTTCTGACTGCTCCTTGGCAACCCCAGCATTTTAACCTGGGTGGATATGCTCTCCAAAATACAGACACTGGAGCTATCTCATCAGCTGTTCATGTGACACAGATGGAGAGTGGCTATTAGGAGCCAGGCAATGGGCCTTGGGGATCTGAGGTGCTGTACTGTAGCCTCAGGCAATTTTGAAAAGCAGTACCCGGAGATGGGGGGAAAAAATCCCTACTGAAAGTGCAAGTTTGAAGTCAGTCAGTTTGTTTGTCTATCTGTCGTGCGGATAAAGATATCTTTGTCTCTTTATGTAAAAGCAATGCGTGTATGCACAGGATGCGTGGAGCTGTAAAACTTCTGCTCTGCACCATCTTTTCAAACCACAGAAGCACAAGTTCACTCTGTATGGACAAATTCCTGTCTATCTGCATATACATTCTCTCCTGTATGTGAGCATCCTCAGTAGGAGTCGCCTACATACTAAATCAATGGACCTTTTGAAGAGGTTATTATTATCCTGGTTTTAAAAAGCTAGTAGCAGCCCAAGAAAGGAAAGTTTAGCTAAAGCTCCCACTGCCTTCCCACCCTAATCAGCAGCTGAAATTGTAAGAGTTGGTGCCTCCTTAATTTGTTCCATAACCCCATGAAAGGAAATTCAAATGTTGTACCTCCAAATTATATGAGAAAAAAAATATGGTGAGATTTGTTGCTCGTGGTGAATCACTAGCCCAATCCTGTGTAACCTGTCATATCTTTAATAGGACTACAGCTGCTCACATTAGTGGATACAGTTTCTAATAGGAAGACATCATAGAAATAGCTCATAAACTCTTTTCCAAGATGGAATTATATACTTCTTGCATATGGAGGGTCTGATCTTATAAATATATCCAAATAAATATCAGTTACATTAAATAAAGAAAAATAAATTACCAGAACTGAAATAAGATTAACAGACAGAAAAGTCACTTTATGGTAGACCGGATTAACTATCTTTTTACTACTCTATGAAGGAATCAAAATTTAAATAATTTAAATCATAATTACAAGTGAGTCTGCTTATGTGATCTGTTCATATCCTGGATTGGAAGAGTAAAGTCAAATCCTAAATTGTATGGAAATTGCAATTGTCCAAGCATAGTTATGCCAGTTTTCTAGAGGAGAAATTAAGCCTTGATTTTGGCCCACTGTCTCTCTATTTCACCAGCACCAAAAAAAAAAAAGATAAAAAATTAAGGATGGCTTTCTCCTCTTTCCATACTGTTCACTCGTTTATTCTCTTGCAAAGAGTAGAAGTGATTGCAAAACCCTATCACTGTTCTAGGAAAGAGGAGAATTCTTAAAAGTGGCACTCTCTTTGTGGAGGTGTCAATGAACTATGCAGAATTCAAGCCAGTAGAGAATTAGGCATTTTACCCAGCTTGTTTAAGATAACAGTAATGCTATGAAATAGTCTCGATAACCCTTATAAAAGATGGAGAGAGTTTACAAGAAACTTTGTAAAGTGACCCACATGGGGTTCCTTAAAGACCACCTCTTCTAGGGGAAGGTTTTGTAGAGGAGGCTGAAGATGCAAGTCTTCTTTATACAGTGTGAAGTTGGGCTTCCACACTAGCTCTGTGTTCTGGCACTCTTAGCATATGTTGAGTTGCCTTCCACAAGATAAATTGTTTTGCATTGAAAGCAAAGGAGACTACCACTTTTAAAAAATATCAAATAAATAGTTACAGAAGGGTTTCCATTGCACCATAATTCCAGCTTAACTTGCTGCAAACTCATTTCCTTGGACAAACAAGCTTGCCCAATGTTCATGCACTAAGGACCCTTCAAGAAACAGAGTCCAGTTCTACAGAAAGTCTGTCCAACCTTATTGTATCAATGAATTCTTCTCTGTCAGTCCTCCACACTGTCACTATTATCTCAACCCTTCTCAAGTCTTTGCTTGTGTTCCCCACAGAGTAAAGACCCAGCAACAGATGAAGCAAGTGCTGTTTAGAAGCTGCTCATCTTGTGTTTTCACGACTTGTGAATAAGACAAATAACAAATTCCCAATCTATGCAAAATGATAACTGAAAAGGACAACCTAGTCAGGCCAAAGCACAGCAACCTGGTAACAGTCCAGATTCAAACTATAGAAATAGTTCCTGTTACCATTATAACGAGTAGAGCAGTTGAAAAAGTGATTTCTGGAAAAGTACATTTCAGCACCCGGTGTTTGAGTTTCTTCACCATCAGAGGTCCATTTTCTAAAAATATTGGAAGTAATATGAAAAGCAAGCTAAAGGATTCTGAAATGAAAGCTGCAGTGTACTATGCTGCTCTTAAGTAAGCTCCTCTACAATCTTGCAGTCTAATATTTTGATGGAGTGGAATATGTAGATATAAGTGCAAAACAAAGAAGAGACTGCATGTAGCCTATATTCACAATTTGCCATTATTTGTTTGTTTGTACTTATAATGCGTCCTTCTGGACACATAAGTATTTTAAACCATTATTAATAAGGACATTCAATTTAGTAATATAATCCATATCACCGCCAGAGAAAAATCTTAAAAATCTGGTAAATTACCACTGCCAGAAAGCTGGAAAGAGAAGTGTCTGAAGAAGTTTTTGAAGATAAGATAGTCTGTGTTGTAGGGAGAACTAATAGAGAGGGAAGATCAGCTCCAGAATAAAAGACCCTTCAGAAGAAGTCCTTATCTCCATTCCATCTGGTTAAAATCATAAGGCTTTTAGCCTTACAACTCCAGTAGATCACAGGATAAAGTCCTGGTTATGGATTGGGGTTTTTTTTCCTCCTCCTCTTAATGATCCCTGTTCAAGGAAGTTGACTTAAGTCTCTTCACACCACAGAAGCCGTACTTGTCTCCTGCAGCTTACTTCCTAGGGAAACTGAGTAAAGATGGATTATGGGTGGCAAACCTGGGACTTTGAAAATCACGAGCAATTCAAG